AATTGAGCTGACTTGCTTGCAAACCCTCTGTGGTTGCAGCAGAGCTGATGGTTCCCTGCTTTGCAGCATGGAAATGCAGGCACTGAGAGGGCTGGGTGCGCTCGGAGCTTCTGAGCAATGCTTGGAGCCAAGCTGCAGGTTGCTTAGGGGCTGGTGCACCTTGTCCTGTGCTCTGGCTGCTGTTGTTTCAGGCCATAAAAGTGTTGGGGTGGTTCTATGGAGTTGTGGTGGAGGTGTGAGTAGAGCCTCTGGGCTGCTGCTGCGTTTTGGGGCACAGATGGAGCGGATTTTGGGGATCTGCTGGAGCCAAATCTTTGCAGAGCAGCTGCTCTTTCTCCCGATTCCCCCTGGAGCTCTCTGAGCACCTCCAGCTTTTAGCAGCAGTGGAGAAACCAAATTAAGTGACCATAAAAGATCAAACATAAGGTACTTCTGGAGGGCCTTCAGCCTCTGCCTTTTATCTCTTCTGCTTGAAAGAGGTCCGAAGATTTGTAGCGTGTGGAGGTGCTGAACATCCTCGCAGGTTCCTCTGGTTGAAGGCTTTGTGTTCCCATTGCTCAGCTGTGCTCAAACCTCTGCAGTTTGTTTTCCTGGCACTTTGCAGTGGGAGATGACCCTGCTGTAGGCTCGGGGTGCTCTGGGTGCTTCCATTTGTGCAGTGCCATTCCTGTAGGGTGGGTGAGCGCCCCAAATCCAACCCTGGGACACTGAACGTCTCCGCAGTGCTTCATCCTCACCTCTCCATGCAGCACAGCTTCAGCTGTGTGCTCTGCTCCTGGGGCCAGCAGTGGACTCAGGGCAAAGAGGGGTTCAGGGCAAATGGGGGCTCAGGGTAAAGTGGGGCTCAGGGCAAAGAGGGGCTCAGAGTCAAGTGGGGCTGCTCTGCATCCCTGCCACAATGCCCTTGGTCTCTCTCCAAACCCATATTTCACTTATTCCCATAGAACTTTTCACCCCTGGGGTTAGTGAGCGTGCACCTGGCTGCTCAGGCCCTGCAGTGTGTGCATGCAAAGCCTGCAAACTGACCCAGGATCAGCTTCCTAAGGGCCAGAAGTGCAGCTCTCTGGTTACCATCCTTCTGCCCACCCTTGGGCACACATGTACCCAACTGTATACCCTTTCAATAGGAGCATTCCTTTCCTTTTGGAGAGGCTCCCTGCAGCTGTAAGGCACTGACATGGCTCCAGGAGCATCCCCTGGGCTGGGGTTGTGGCTGTCAGCATCCTGCTGCTCCGTGGTGTGCAGGGAAGGGTTAACACAGCAGCGGTGCGTTGCCGTTTTTGTGCTTGTTGCCTTTGAATAGAAGAGATTTTCTTTTTCTTCTTCCTTTTTTTTTTTTTTTTTTTAATCTGGGGCTAATGTGCAATTCAAATGGTGCTCAGGCATCGCCCGATTGCTCCTTTTTAATAACAGCTGGACTCTTTGGGGGGGGGGAAACCTGCACGGTGCCAGGCGGTGTCAGCGCTGCCTCTGCTCCCACTATCAGCCCCGCACGTCCCAGTGTAAAAGCCTTCCTGCCCCAAGCCAGCCAGCTTCATAACGGGAGAGCATCTGCAAGCACCTGGAGATGCCGTTGAGTGAGAGCCAAGAGATGAAACACCCCTTCCAGGGCCTTTTGCCTCATGCTGCACCTGAACCGCTTCGCCTTCGCTCCGCCGTGTGGCATTCCTGACATGTCAGTCCCACCTCTGACGTCCAAGTGGAAGAATGCTTTTCAACTCAAAGCTGCAGGTGCTCTCTTAGCACTTGCCTGCGACTTTTCGGCCTTCCTCCCCCGCTGCTCCCGTTTGGGGCTGAGCATAAAGCTGTGGCTGTGAAACCGCGGCGTTCTGACGTGGGAGAATCTCTGTTCTGCCCTCCCCACCCGTGCTGGGGTCAGAGCACGGTGCTGCAGTTGCATCTTTCCCTGTGTAAAGCTGGAAGAGACGAAGGCATTGAGCGTTGGTCCGTCGGAACAGCAGGCTTTGATCCGTGCCACTCTCTTTCATTGATACATTGTGTGCTTCTCTGGTGGGGAAACACTTTGGGGCACAACGTCTTCAACAACTGAAGCTCTTTAATTCTTCCACCTCCTATTAACAGAGCTCTTTCAGCCCTAAATGTGTCCCGGGAAGCTACAGAAAGCTGTTTGCAGGTGGAGTAAGGCAGAGGGCAAAGCTTTCCCTCAACCTCAAGTGCCTCTGTGGATCAGTTCCTTACAGGGAGGGCAGCAGAGGGTGTGCAGAGCATCCCTGTGATCGGCCAGGTGTGTCTGTGGGATGCATGGAGGTGAGATGTAGAGGGGGGGGCCGCTTTGGAGCTGTGCTGGATCTGTTTTCCATGGGGCAAAGCTGTGTTTAACACCGCTGATGTGCACTGGGGTGCTTCAGTCCGTGTAATTGGAGTGGCTGTGTCCGAGCTGTGCTTTTTAGGAGCCATCCCTGTGTACCAATGGCATCAGGGCTCCTCTTGTTTAGGTGTAAGGACATCGACAGGGGCTTTTGCTGTGTGTTCCTGATCCAAGTGGAGCTCTTTGGAGAGGAGAGGGCTCTGCCCAGCGAACTGAGCTGCAGGATGTGGAGCTGGAGGTGGATGCTGCACTGAGCCCGGATGGTGCTCAGGACCCCAGGTTGTCCTGTGGGCTGCAATGGGGATCCCACACCTTCCTGCCTCACGTGGCTCCTGCAGCATGGAGCCTGCACAGAGAAACAAGCAGGAGGAATACATACATAGAAACAAATCTCAAAAAGGTGCCGGGCGACAGCTGCACATCCCAGGGTTGGAGTGTTCCTGAGAATAAAACCATCGGTTGCTGTCATTCACCCTCTGGGTATGAAATTGGAAGCCCAGTTACCCTTGAGTGTTTCATAACCTTTACCTTTTGGAGGTCAAGGCCGTGTCATCATTAATCTACCGTCGCCTGAATGCCCTGGGGCTCTGCTTTTCATCCCCCCCATCCGTCATGCTGCTGTGGGATGCAGGAGGGTGAGCAGAAGGGCCCACACTGTCCTCTCTGCAAGGATGGGAGCACCGAGGATGCCCTCATGGAGCCTCCCTATTTATGATGAGGATTCTCTGGGTTTCACCTGAAGATTCAGAACCCTTTCCTCCCTGGGATGCTTTAATCTGTTGAGAAGAGGTGCTGTGGCCTCGAGGAGTTTCCATGCGTGGAAGTTGGACACGTGGAGCACCTCCTTGTGTTGTTCCCCTCCCCAGAGCCAGGCTTCGTTTCTCCTCACCCACAATGAGCCTCATCTTGAAGCACACACGTGGAGCTGCTGCTGCTCATCCACGTGAGCCTGGATGCTGAGACGTGGCTGTGGGTTTCCCCTCTGCTGAAGTTTGGGTGTTGGAGAAGATTGGAGCTGAGCATCCCCACGAATCCCACTCCACCTCTGCCGGGATGCTGCTGGCAGCTCCAGCTCCCATTGCAGGGATCCAGCTGTGCTCCCTGCCCGGCGATCTGCTCCATCCACAGGGCAGCAGTGAGTGCCAGAGCTGCTCCCTGTGCCATGGTAACCATTAATTAATGCCTTTTGGCTTTAAGTCTTCCAGCAGCAGGGGCTGTGATTCTCCCAGGAGAGAAGCGAGCCCATTTTCAAGCATTTCCTTCCAGCTTTTTGGGAACGAGGAGCGTAAGGACAACACTGACCCTGGGTTTAGCAGTGCTAAGGTCCATCCTGGAGCTCTGCAGCCCCTGCTGCCCCATCTCTGTGCTCACTGGTTCCAGCTTGGGGGTCTGCAATGAAACCCAGGGCTCAGGATGGACACAGCATTGAGCACAGCACAAATATTTGGGTTCTCCCTTCCTTCCTCTTCACCAGGGCTCAGCAGAGCCGTTTGCTTTGTCCTTGGCTCAAGCTCTCCTCCTCTTCCTCCCCCTCCCCTCTCCCCCCACCCTCTTTTTTAAGACAAACTACAAAATAACTGAGTGCAAAGGGACCGAGCTGAGGAATAGAGAGGTTAGAAAATAAATCTGACACCCTGCCAGAAAGGTCAGCTTTCCCCACAGATGCTGGTGCACCCATTTGCACGCCGGAGCACGGCCTGGGGGCGCTGCCAGGGGTTGATAGATACGGAGATAGCAGCGTTTTGATAGAGGTAATTTTCCTCGGCTGGGTTTCAGCACCCCATGAATCAAAACCTGTCAGCGAGAAGCCAGAGATGGAGTGAAGTTTATTGTACGTGTGTTTGCATCTGACACTGTTGTGCTATGGGGTCAAGTGAGCCAGATCATTAGGGCCGTGTTGATTTAGGACGATGGTTGCACACTGCTTTCCCTGCGGGGCAGTGCTGGAAGCAGGGCTGGGGGGGGGGATGTGGTGGGCTTCCCAAAAAAAAGAAAGAAACCCCACACTGTCCAGCAGCCCCGTTAAAGCTGCAGCCCTTGGGTTGCCCTCTGTCTGTGGTGGGAATGGCTTTTGGGAGCTGATTTTGGCCCCGTGTGGCGGTGGATGAGTGGGGGGGGGTGCTGGGATTGGGAGCAGGCTCTTCTTTGTAAAGATTCTACTTAGAAATGGTGCCCTTGTGGGTTTCGTTCTGCCACAGCATCACCTGCAGCAGTGGGATGCAGCCGGGGGGGGCTGAGAGCTGCGAAGTGCCCTTAATGATAGGGGAAATTGTAGCAGTGCTGCAAAGCAATTAGGCAGCCTGGAGAAATGGGCTGAAAGAGGCACGAAAACAGCCGGAGCCAGGAATAAATCCACAGAAAATGGATGCTCTGAGGCTTTTACAGGCAATGATGGCTTTGGCTATTAGCTGTGATCAGGACATCAGCGTGGATGATGGCAGCAGAGGTAAAAAAAGCCTCCGGTTTTTGCTGGAGAATGCTGAGAAACGGAGAGCTGAGGGCTCTGGGAAATGTCTGCAGGGGTTTGCTGGAAATTCAGTGTATCTTAGGAGGTGGCCTTGCCCTCTCCAGCTCCTGCTGATGGGTGAGGGGAGGGGGGATGTGGTTTGCCACCAAACGAACCCCCAGGGCTTTGTCCCCGGGATTAAATCTACTCCATTCTCTGTGCCAGAGTGAAGAAGATGAGAAACTGAAGAAGAGGAAGGAGCGGTTTGGCATCGTGACGAGTTCAGCCGGGGCTGGAGCCACAGAGGACACAGAGGTAAAGGCCCAAGAGGTGGACAGCAGCCGTGGGGACCCCTCTGCTGTCATTGGGCTCCCACTGAACTGCTGCCCTATCAGCCCCACGGCCATCAGCACTGGAGCCTCTCATTCTGTGCCTGCGTGGACCCAGTCTGTGCATTCCCCTTCCTCGTGCTCTGCAGTTCCTTGTCCTGGCTGCCCCTGAACCTTCTGCTTCCCTTTGGGTGCTGCGTTCCAGGCCTGGAGGAGCAAATCCCTGCAGACCCCATAACGTAATGAAGGTTGCAATGCTGACCCTATTTCCAGCTTTCCCCCCCCTCTCCACCCCTCGATACTTCGGTCCTCTGTGTATCTGACCCATCTTTTAAATCCGTCACCTCCTCGGGGCACTCCTGTCCTTTTTCCTCTATTTTTGTGCCGTGGATTTGTCCCACTCTTCATGCACGTTACGCAGCTCCTCTCCTCGATATGGGGTCGGTGCAGCTGTGGGGCCCCAAACTGCATCCACAGCACCCACCTCCCACGGACAAAGGGACCCTTTGGGCTGGGCAGGACCGCTCGTTAACTAACGAGCAAAGCAGCACAGGGTGAGCTGCTGCAACCAGATGGCTCCTGGGTCCCCAAACAGGGACTGGAGCTCCCAGAAGAGGGACTGCAACGTTCAGGTGGAGCACAGGGAGGGGGGGGGATTTATTTGCAACCCCAAGCATGGGAGAGTGAGCCCCACACCGAGGGGCGAGGGAGTCCCTGCTTTTCCGTTAGGTCACTCTGAGATTGTGCCTGGAACAAAAAGGGCTTTTGAGTGGTATTGTGTGCACTCAAATGCACCTTTCCCCTGGAGATTCTTGATTAGGGCTTCTGTTGCCCCGGGGCTATTTATCCTGCTAAAAATTAAGATTTATACGCCTCTCGTGGAGCAGCTTAAAGGCATATCCGAGAGACGCAATAGTATATTTAATGCATTTTAGTGTGTCCCTCTCACCTTTTCCATGAATAGGAGAGTGTTAACCCTTTGCCCTTTTACATTTCCCACCTCCCCACTGCCTGGAAGGGTTTCGAAGCCTCTGAAGTACTCATTGTTCCCAGCTCAGCTCTTTTGTAGCGCGTTGCCAGCACAATGCAGTGACTCCAGCAGCACTGTATCTCAGGCACTGTATATTTCTGCTCCTGGATTTGGGGCTCTCTTTGTGCCAAGGGGGAGGGGGGGGGACAGAAGAAAACCTTCAGACCCCTTTCCTTCACCCTGGCTCTGCGTTGGTGCCCTCTGGAAGGAGCTGGAGCTGCCGTGCTTGAGGATTGATGCCAAACCCTCAGCAAATTCTGCATCAGAGGTTTGCTCCTCTCGGCCTTGAATTCTCTCACGTTTGCTTCATTTCTTGCAGGCAAAGAAGAGGAAAAGAGCAGAGCGCTTCGGGATCGTCTGATGCTGGCCCCTTCCAGCTGCACCCTTTGCAGTGTGCATCCTGAGTGCGTGAATCCTTCCCTCTCCCCCACTTCCTCTCTCCTCTGTTCCTCGGGTTTTAGCGTTGAGTAGATAGGGAACCCCCCATAGTTGTACGATTGTGTTACTTAACTCTTTCAATTTACTAAGTTTAAAAAAAAAAAAAGAAGAAGAAGAAGAACAAGTAGGGCAAAAAGAAGGAACTGTTCTCACTGTATTTTGTCAGCCCGGCGCCCTGAGGTGGGAGCTGCTGCCCTCCCTGTGCACTGCAGGGCTCGTGGAGCCCTCACTGGTTGCTTTTCTGGAGTGGAAGTTCACGTTTGCTGCTCAGCAAGGAGCTGCTGCAGCCGTTGGTGCTGTCCCATCCGTGGGTCCTCTCTCCTTGTTTTTAAGGATGGGAGAACGCAGCAGGCAGAGCAGCTCTCACTGCCTGCCTCAGCGGGGTGAAGCTAATGGGAACTGTCACAGCCAGAATTGCCAATTAACCTTAAATCAAGATCGGTGTCCTAAGACGAGGAGCAAAAAGTAGCCGTGTGTTTGCAAACAGAGCCCACTCCCATGGCTCCCTTCAGGTCCTCCACACACCTTCCTTTGGGTCAGCAGTGCATTTCTCTCCTAAAACACAACCGCTCCTCCCAGGCGTGTTGCTCTGGGCTTCACATCGCCCTCTCTGTGCTTCAGAACCGGCTGCTGCCCAGCTTAGCATTGCAGAGAGGCACCTCTGCTCCAAAGGGAGCCGGGCCAACCGTGAGCTCTGCCTGCCGCCCTCCTTCCCGCAGGAGGATCCGCTCCCATTGCACTCAGTGCAGCTCCGTCCCATGCCTGAAGTCCTTCTGCTGTCTGAAGACCCACTGAAGTTGTAGGATTTGTATTTCTTTCATCACAGAGCTGTTGACATCACCCTCGCTCGGTTCCTTCGGGTCCCGCGGATGCGCACACGTGGAGCTTTCCAGAGGCCGCGCTCGGTTCTCAATAAGCAATACGTGTCTATTTTTTAATATCAAACTCCTCAAACTGCTCCCATTCCACAACGTGTGCCTTCCACAGCTCTGAGCAATACCTGTGACGTCCATCCCCACCCCACAGGGCGGCTGTGACCCACAGCTCCGGGCTCTGTGGGGTGAGTGATGTCCAAATGAACCGAAGCTCCCCCACGCTTTCCTGGTTTAATGTAATAACCGTACTCAGATTATTATTATTGTTATTATTAATTGTTGGTTTTTTTTGTATGTCAGATTTTGTAAGACGTATTTTCTATTGGCTTCGTGCTCCTTTTTGCTGGTTCTTCGCTTGGAACGTTTTGTAGTGCGCCAGGGCGAACGCTGCATTTCATTCTTGGTTTCATAATAAAAAGTGCTCCTCCAAGGCAAAAACCCAGGCTCTGTCACTTTGATGTATGGAGCAGCTCAGGGCCGGAGCCGCAGCAGATGGAGCCCTGGCACAGTGCAGGGCCGACGGCCTCGGGGACAACTGCACACACTGCAGCTTTTGCCCCGCTGTCACCCGTCCCCTCTTGGCTCCGCAGCTCCGGGGCTGGGTGCACGCAGTGGGATGGGTGGTGCTTCCCTCACCCACTGCTCCTCGTTGGCCCCAGGGGAGCTGATGGGGAAGGACAGATCCTTTTGGTACTTGAAGCTTTGTAGCTGTTTTTGCTGCCTTTCAGCTGCTGGTGGGATGGGCTGGATGTCACAGTGCTGCTGCTGCTCCGGGAGCCGCAGGCTGGAGGTGGTCGGATCCTGAGCCCTCGGGATGGGGAGGGAGGTTGGGCTGCTCCGTGCTGCACATCTCCAGTAGCACTCGGGGAAAGCTGAGCCTCAGCACCTGCAGTCTCATCTTCTGTCCCTTCTCCAGCTGAGGACCGAGCCCAGGGCTCCTGGTGCCATCCCCTTCCAGAGGCAGAGTGGGATGTGGGGCAGCTCCCAGCCCTGCGCCCTGCTCCTTCCCACACCCTGCGGCTGCGTCCCCCTCCTCCCATCACCTCCTCCCCGTTGCCCCCTCCCCATCACCGCTTCCCCGTCGCCCCCTCCCCATCACCCCCTCCCCTTGGGGGCCGTGCTCCCCTCATGGCCCCAGCCCACGTACCCACCCGCAGAGCGGCTCCTCATCCTCCACCCTGCGGCCTTCCCCTCCTGGGCGCAGGGGAGAACCGTTCCGATGGCTCTGCGTTTCAAACACCACCTAATTTATTTTTCCTCTCCGAGCCGGGGGCTGCTCGTGACTAATTTGGGTTGAATAGGAGAAGAAAAAAAGCAGCGGGAGCACAATGAGCGGGGGAAAGTGTGGGAAAGAGAGCGAAAGAAAAGGAGGGCCGGGGAGTGCGGCGTGAGAGCTGCTAACGCTGCGCAGCGCCCAAATTCAGCATGAAGGCACCTTTCACAGCCAACGCTTGGGCTGTAAATGTGAGCAGGATGAGGTCAAGATGAGGGGGTGGGGAGGAGATGGGGGGTAAAGGGGGTGATGGGGGGCACAGCGGGTTTTGGGGTGAGCGGTGCCGGCCCCCCACGGTCGCCCCTGGGTGGGATGGGAAGGACATCGGGTTGGAGTGGGGGAAAGGAGACAGAAGAGCAGAGCTGGGGTGTGCATGAGGCTGAGCATTGGGACCATCCCCACCCATGGGTGCTGTTGGATGTGGCACCAGATGAAGGGAGATCCCGATCCCATCCCATGCAAAACCCTCTCCAAACTCACCACGTTGACGTTTCTCACCCCAAGGAACCCCAGCGCTGCCCTTCCCCGATGGCTCCTCCATCCCGCGGCCAGAAGTGGGCTGGCTGATGCCCTCGGGGTCCTCCTCCCTCCAGCCAAGCAGCTCCAGAGGTGCATCAACTCCCTGCACAACGCTGGCACATGGAGATGCTGCAGTCCCATCCCCAAACACCATAGGGCCGATGGCTCCGTGGCACCCAGGCAGCAACGGGACGCAGCGAGGCTGTGGATCCCAGCCAAGCTCCCGTTGGTGTTTAATTACAACTCGGGCACTCGTTAGGCAGCGGAGGGGAAGCATGGAGCCATATTATGTCATGGTGCAACCGTGGGTGGTCGATCCCTGTCCTAATTTGTCCCCCTCCCGCTCGTCCTGCCCTGGGTTTCAGAATTAGGTCAATGGGGGACTGGGACGTCGTGGGGTGCAGCTGGGAGATGTGAGCAGGACAATGTCTGCTCTCACTGAACTGATATCATCCCTGCAGTGAGCACGCAGAGGGGATGGAGCGTGCCGGGCCGTGCTGTGCCACGTCACACCATGCCATGCTGCACCATAGCACGTCCAGCAGTGCCGTGCCATGCTGTGCTGTGCCATCAGAATCTGTGCTGTGCCATGGAAATCTGTGCTGTGCCATGGAAATCTGTGCTGTGCCATCAGAATCTGTGCTGTGCCATGGAAATCTATGCTGTGCCATCAAAATCTGTGCTGTGCCATCAAAATCTGTGCTGTGCCATCGAAATCTGTGCTGTGCCATGGAAATCTGTGCTGTGCCATTGGAATCTGTGCTGTGCTGTATCAGACCATGCCATGTCACATCAGAATTTGCCTTGTCGTGCCATGCCACGCTGTGCTGTGCCTTTAAAATCTGTGCTGTGCCACATCAGGCCATGCCAGGTCATGTCAAAATGTGCCATGCCGTGCCGTGCCATCAAAATCTGTGCTGTGCCACATCAGGCCATGCCATGTTATATCATGCTGTGCCATGCCATGCCATGCAGTGCCATTGAAACATGTGCTGTGCCATATCAGACCATGCCATGTCATGTCAGGATATGCCATGCCATGCCATGCTGTGCTATGCTATCAAAATCTGTGCTGTGCCACATCAGACCGTGCCATGTCATGTCAGAATGTGCCGTGCTGTGCCTTGCCATGCTGTGCTGTGCCACTGAAATCTGCACTGTGCCTTTAAAACCTGTGCTGTGCCATGTCAGACCTTGCCATGTTATATCATACTGTGCCATGCCATGCCATGCAGTGCCATTGAAATCTGTGCTGTGCCACATCAGGCCATGCCATGTCGTGTTGGGCTGTGGCATGCTGCGTGATGCCATGCTGTGCTGTGCTGTGCCATGTTGTGCCATGCTGTGTGATGCCACACTGTGCCACGCTGTGTGATGCCATGCTTGCCACGCTGTGCCATGTTGTGCCATATTGTGCCATGTTGTGCCATGCTATGTGATGCCATGCTGTGCCATGCTGTGCCATGCTGTGCCATGCTGATCCATGTTGTGCCATGCTGTGCCATGCTGTGCCATGCTGTGCCATGCTGTGCCATGTTGTGCCATGTTGTGCCATGTTGTACCATGCTGTGTGATGCCATGCTGTGTGATGCCATGCTGTGCCATGCTGTGTGATGCCATGCTTGCCACGCTGTGCCATGCTGTGCCATGTTGTGCCATGCTGTGCCATGCTGTGTGATGCCATGCTGTGTGATGCCATGCTGTGCCATGCTGATCCATGTTGTGCCATGCTGTGCCATGCTGTGCCATGCTGTGCCATGTTGCGCCATGCTGCAGGTTCTGCTTTGGCACAGCTGCCATCATGCAGACACTGGAGCCCTATGGGGAGGGAAAGCCGCATGCAGAGCAGCCACAGCCTCAGAGCTGCTGCTCCAAAGCCGAGTTCAGGACTGGCTGAGCAGAGCCAAAACGGAGCAGCGTGGAGGTCGGGGTGCACGGTGAGGCCCTGGGGATGGGACCTCAGCTCCGGGACGCAGCACAGGAGGGCCGGGAACCGTATGACCCCACTGCTGTGCTGGATCCGATCCCTCACGCCCGGCTCCGCTCGTGCCAAAAATCCCACAGCTCCAATCCGGCCCTGCGGGCAGCGACCCCTGAGCTCCCCGTCCGCGTGGCCCCGTCCCCTGAGCCCCACTGTAATTAGCTGCGGCATTCCCGGCATTCTGCAGCCCCTAATGAGGCTCCATAAAGGCTGCCCCGCTTGGCTCCTCCAGCCATGTGTAAATCCCAGTGTTACGGTGAGGGTTGGGGTCCTTCAACGTCCCCTCAGTTTTCCCCTCCATGGGGCAGAGCCACTGAGGGGCGGGGAGGCGATGGGGGTGGCCATGGGGTGATCCTGTTGCTTGCTGGGCATCTTTTCAGGTGGTTTTGCCCCATCGCTTTGGGTTTCCCATCCCTGTGCCCACGTGCTCTGCGTCCCCTTGGGGTCCCCTCCATGGG